GGGCTATATCGAGCTCACAAAAACTCCACTGGGAAGCATGGAGAAGGATTTTAAAAAATCTGAAGTTCTCAAGCAGAAGCTGAGGATACACAATGCGTATGGCGTGTGCAAGGCCTGTTTGCACTAAGGCACAAAAGGCACCGCAGAGTTTCTGCTTGTCGCAATTCCTCCGCGGGTGTCTTCGGGGTGGAAAACTTGACCCATTAAGTTCAGGGAAACCTACTTCTTGCATTTGCCATCCTCTCTGCCACAATGACACTAATTTAGGAAAGAGCTCTTTTAAACAGCGAGACTAATCTGATGAGGAGCTTTGCGTTCACTTTTGCTTAACTTGCTGCTCAGGACAAAATATAAAGTGGAGATTGACTTGAACTGTAGCAGAAGGTAAAACAGAGCAGTGTCAAACTGAGCTGCTTGGAAATGAGTCCTGCCCTTTTCAAACAAATTGCATGTACTGTTTTTACAGGGAATCTCTCTGAGGTTTGGTATGCCAGCCGTAGGCCACCTAAGTTTTATAGCTCGTTCTTTGATTGTGAAAAAGCCTTTTGAGGCTGAGAAAGTAATTGAGGAAAGCCCAAGGATGTTTCACTGCCATCAAATCAAGGAACTTCAGGGCCTTCTCTGAAGCACACTGTTCTGATGTTGTCTTAGTGGACAAGCATAATTGCCCTGTGATTGCTTGGCATTGATTTTGATTTTTATTTTTCTGAGGCAGGAGTAAAATAGGATCGAGATGCAGTAGCATCCTACTTCAAAGCTACGGGAATCTCAGGTTCCAGTGCTTTTGTGATGGTTTGTTTGGGTTTGTTTTTTTTTTTTATTAAGCTTTTTCTGAACAGGAAATAACCCCAGTGTGTGGCTCAGCCCCTAGGCTGTTTTGAAAGTGGTTGCGTTTTGGGTTTTGGGGTGTGTTTGGGTTTTTTTGGAGTTTTTTGTTTTTTCTTTCTATAGTCTGTGAATGAAGCAATTCAAGAGAGAATCAAGTTCAGGGAGATCTCTGAGCAGTGTATGTGTTTTCCGATGCAGGCTGTATTGCAGTAAAGTCTCCAATTATTTAATTATTTTTCATGACCTAAAAGCAGGAGACTGCTTAATACTTAAACCATTTCCAGAATTATTGCTATTCAAGAGTTTTTCTGGGTTTGTTTCTGTTGTTGTTTGGGGTTGGTTGTTGGGTTTTTTTGAGCCACAACAAGGGAGCATGTAACATAAATAATGTGAAGGTCTCGAGCTGTCCTTCAGGGACTGTGCTCGACGTGCAGGTGTGTGTCCTGCGGACAAACGCGTGGAGTGATTGTAGCATTTTGAAAAATGGTGTGTGAGAGTAGATTTTGTTACTTCTTCCTTGTGATTATTCCCATTCATTCAGCTGTTTGCAGGAACATGATCACTAGATGTAGCAACACCTTTATGTGCATTCCTGATTGCTTTTTCAGGTTTATTTTTTCTAGTAGGTGGAAGCACACTTCCTTTTCTTGTAGTCCATTTCATTATCTGTCCTTTAAAACAGTCCTGGGCTTCTGAAATCCAGCTTTAGCTTTAGCAGTGGTGTCTTTTTCTACTTCATAGGTCATTTCAGATATACTGTAAGAATCTTGCAATGCATGCAGGAGAATAACAGAGCTGCGTGTTTATAAAATTTTTCCTTCATAAATGAAAAACAAATATAAAAAAAATTGCTCAGGGGTTCAGAGGAAAATGTTGTGCTGCTTTGTCCTGGGGATATCTTCAAAGGATGTGCTGTGATGTGGCTGTGCAGCTCTGGAAATCCTCAGGCTTCTCTGGAGTTCCCTGCAGAGGTTTCCTACTTGTCCTGCTGGAATTCAGCGCAGCTCTCCCTGTTGACCGTTCGCTTCTTTCAGAGGCAGTTGCAGAAGAGAGCTGCCAAACTAATTAATGGCTTTGGTAGCCATTGGGGAGTCCTCTCTGGTCTTGCAACTTGGGGTTTTGACCCCTGATATGTCTCTGGTTGAAGAGCGTAACAACCTAGGGAAGGTGGCCTATTGGTGGAATTTAGCGGAGTCGTACTTGCATGAAGAGCAGTACTGCGCAGCTGAAGCCGGTGTCAGGCCTGGTTTTGTTTTCAGTTTGGTTTTTATGCAAGTAAAAAGTTGTGGGTGGAAGGATGAGTAGAGTGAGGGTTTATCGTACGGCTAGCTGTGTTTATTTTATTCGTCAAATGTTCAGTAATGAACTCAGGACTTTTTAGGGTGAGCCATCATTTTCCCCTTAGCAGGACCGACGTTGAGCTTGTTAAGTTACGAACCTCCTCAGCGGACAGAAAGTGCTCAGAGGCCTTGTGTGCATTTACAATTTGAAGAATGGGCCAGGTGTTGCTGAAACCAGTCCTATCCTTCTCTTCCAAAGCCTGAAGAACTTGTTGTACCACAGGCCTACTAAGCCCTGCCCGAGCTCTGCGAGGAGGGTGTGAGTGCCCTAAAACGATCACTTGGAACCTCACACACGCTGCAAAGCTTAACTTTCCCCAAGCCCGATGGCCTCACGTGTGTTCAATGATAAGACAACACTAGGGCTGGTCTGCATTTGTTGCTCCTTTTCAATCATGGAGGAAAATAACAGCAAACCTCTTCGCGGCCTAACCCTGCTGCTCCTGTGTGTGGAAAGGGCCTGGGGGAAGACTGGTGGTGCGAAGATGCATTAAATATCCCGGCTTCTGCTTGCCTCGAGTCACCTCCGTGTGGCTTCCAGCACGTCCTCAGCCCCTGAGCTGGCTCCTGCGAAACAGCAGGCGTTTGGCCGCGTGCTGCGTTTGAAGCAGCGCAGATCTTAATGCGCGTTTTCAAACCACGCGATCAAGGTTGAATGATAACCACGACCTTGCAATAAGCTGCAGGTTCTCAGAAACAAAGATGTGGCGCAGAAAAAAATAGTTTTCCCTTCTTTTGAATTAAGTTGCAGGTACGAATGAATCTTGGTTTTCAGGCCTGTGCGGTACTGTCGTTCAAACAATCACAATTGTCTAGAGTTGCAGAATTGTGTGAAGAAGGGTAAAGAAACAGTTTCAGGTGCTGTTTGTAAAATATTTAATAGTGAAAGAACTGTGTAGGTATATGTTCTGTTATATGCGCCTGCCAGCTTCTCCAGTTTCATTTTACTGTAAGTGTTAAACAGTCTTTCTGAAGAATGGAATAAAACGTCATTGAATATTTAATAACTTAAGCTGTGTCGAACATGTGTGCAGATTGACCTTGATCACTTTGGTACGAAGCTGTGAGCGTAATAACAAAACTTTACACACCAAAAGAAGAAAAAAAAAAAAAGAAAAGGAAAAATAAAAGTTCTTTATATTGTTATGCTTTGTCAGTCTGATTCTTCTTTATTTTCAATGGAACGATTCTTTCACAGGATTCGGCAGAACTCAACCTTTTTTCTGGACTTTTTTTCATTTTTTAAGAGGGCTGGATAAAATCAGACTTGGAAGCTTCGCTCCCAGTGTGCAGGAATCTCAGACCTAGTCGTTCATCAGGAACAGATGGAAACCATCTCCACCCAGCTCGTGCGTCCGAGACATTGTAGTGACTCTCCTGCTTCATGGCCTGTTGCAAAGGGAACTTCTCTAGAGCTGTTAGTTGTTCAGTCACCAAGACTTTTTAGACTATTTTTGAGTTGCCAGTCAAAAATCCCAATTTTGATCTTTTGGCTGATAGATTTTGTTGGTCTGTGAACACCCTAAGAGCATCTCTGCCGTATTTTTTGTATGGAAAATAATAGCTTCGGAGGGATAACACAAGGCAGGAACCCAGGGCTCTTAGCGTTCCAGTCATCTTAAAAATGTGATTTGGGTTAAAACACAAGTCGAATTTAAAGGAGAACAGATCTTCTTTAGATAAACTATAGCATTCTCTTGCTCTTTTAGAGTAAGTTGCAGCCCAAGACAACATTAAGAACTTTATAGGCAAAAAGTTTTCTATTTCTTACTTCACACTTGCCATAAAACTCCAAAAGCTGCTCTTTATTCAGCAGAAAGATGGGCAAGTGCTCAGTGTTTCATCCTTCTGTGTTCTTTCAAAGTAAAAACACAACATTGAAGATTAGGTTAAAATCCAGTTGTTTTTATTTTTGGTTCAATTAAACTAATAATACTTACACATTCTAATAATCTTCCCGAAGCCGTCGTGCTGACATAGTGTCTGATTCTGCTGCAGGTCACCTTTTACAATAAACGCACAATACTGTCAGGAAATAGGGCCCTGAGGGAGAGGGAGGAAAGTGGGTGTGTAGATAGATAAATTTGGATGTGTAAGAGATTTTCTGTCTTGAATGGAAAACAACTTCCTCGATGTTACAGAGAATGCAGTTACAAAAAGAAAACATTTTCAATGGCCAATGTGTAGTTAAGATACCATGAGGGTTCTAAAAATGAGAGCAAATTGCTCAGTTCTGATATTTCTGCCGAGTGGCTGTTGTGCCACAGCAGGAACCCCCCCCGAACCCCCCCAGCCGTTACACCGCGATTGGGATGCACGACATTAATGTAACAGCACAACCTCATCTGAAATATTCAGGCAAGATTATGAAGAGGCTGAGGTGATACTATCAAAAGCAGGACAAAGAGTTAACAGCCATTTGAGGTGGTAGTAAGCACCTCTGACCCTCATGGTTCAGCTGCAGCCCCAGCTTTGCCTGATGTGAGGGAGGATTTTTTCCAGTGGCCGGCCTAAGCAGAATAATGATGTGTGCTCTGTCTTTACCATGCAGAAGCAGCTTAATTCAGCCATCAATAAATTCACCCTCGTTGCCCAAAGGAAGATGGCAGGAAGTTACAAAGGTAGTGACAGAATGTGCGCGCTAGTCTCTCTGCCTCTGCTGGGGGGTATGGTTGTCCTTTTCTCCAAGGGCTTCTTCCCACGGGTCGCTCATCCCAACGAGCTAAGCACAGAATGAGGAAATGCTCTTGTTGGCACTTGGGGATGAGCAGAACTAGTTCCTCAGGACAGAAGCTTTGAGTGTGTTCTTCATGAAGGTGGCCGCTGGCTCCAGTGTTAGGCGTACAGCGTGAGCTGCAGCCACTGAAAGAAGAGTTACAATTAATGGATGGAAGACTTACTGGTGTCCTCGTAACAAATTTTATTGAGGCACCACCACCTTTGGCTGGAAGGCAGCAGCTTGCTGGCACTTGATATGAAGCATAGTGGCAGCGGGCAATTTTGCACTGGGCTTCTTGCTCCTATTGCTCCTTCCCGTGCAAAAAGGGAAGGGGTTTTACCAGAAGACACACTTTTAAGTTGAAACTAAGTTTTTTCAATTGGATTTAAAAAGGTAAATAACTATGTTAAACCCCATTATGAGTTAATGCCATATCAGTATGTTTGATTTAAATTGCCTCATTAAAAAAAAAATAAATCTCAAAGTTTTTTAAAGCTCTCTGAAGATGACGTGAAGAGTTCTCAGCTGTGCCCTTCAGCACCAGCTGGAGTCTTACAGAGCAGCTGCTGCTGGCAGATGGTGGATGTTTTCTGTGCAAAACTGGTAGCAAGTTTTTTAGGTTTTTGCAGCCCCTTGCCAGTTGGATGACAATTTCAGACCAACACTCATTGAGCTCCCTTGAGAACATGTGCAATGAATACCATGATTAAAATCTAGTGTCGTGACATTGTGTTAGAAACTGGCATAAAGCAGTTTACCTCCAGGACGTTGAGCTTAATGATGCCGTCTCCATCTTTATCAAAGGCGTGGAATGCCCCTAAAGCAAGGAAACAAAATATATAGGGAGTAGATGAAATTACTGTGTGTGGGAAGAGGATTCCAAATTGTGCTCCTCTTGGGTTTATGCGAAGTTGTGCAGGTATTTGCTTACATTGTCAGCGAGTATTTCTGCTGTGTTTTTCTGTAGCCAACACAAGCAGAAATGCAACCGTTTCTTTTGTGTTTGTATGAGATGGCTATCGTATATTAAATTCCCTAAGCACGCATCTTTAATTATTAATGCTATATATAAACAGTAGTGCTTTAGACAAACTTTGCTTTGAGTACAACCGTGCATTCTAGGGACGAGGAGCAAAACCAGGGCAGCTACTCACGGAACATGGCGTCCAGGCGGACGAAACAGCAGATGAAGCTGTCGAAGTCGATGTTCATGTTCTTGTCGGCGTAGCGCATGGTGATGATGTCGTAGAGCTGGTTGTTCAGCCGAAACCCTGCGGAGGACCAGAAACGGGACACATAAGGGCCATGGCCAGGGGCAAGTGCTCCTGCTGATCTCCATGGGTGCTTCCCAGGCCCAGAAGAGGTTCAGGGTGGAAGGTGCTGCTTCAGCTGCTAAATAAAACAAAGTAAAGCTGTAAGGACCCTCCCTATGTCCAACTGATTTTTAGAACAGGAGTAACATTTCAAAATGATGATTTAGGAGGGCCAATAGCACGAGAGTTGCCTCATGCTGTAAGTAAGAAGAGGAGAGGTCTCCACCGAAGAGTCTGCAGCTCAGCTGAGCAAAGCAACAAACACTGGGTGACAGAAGCACGGGAGGAAATCGCTGTGAAAACACAACTGCACAACGGTCAAAAAGTCAATCCAAGGGCAGGTCTAGCTTCGTCATAGCAACGGATTGAATCACTGATATTTCAGAAAGTACAAGATAGCCATCTGTGTCTGTCCTGTGATGAACTGCTAACTGGTACGCCAAAATAATACTGGAGATGAAACATCACTGAAATCATTCCATCTCCGTAGTCATACTGTAGACTTTCTGATTAAAGAAGTCACCTTTCTCCCTCAGAGTGCTGGTAAAGACATCGGCAGGGGGAGGCTGTAGGTGAAAACATTGCCCCGGGGAAGAAGCAAACCAGTATGTTTTGAGACGAGAAGCGAGAAATTCAAAAGCTTCTCTTTGCAGGATGAATTTCATTAACTGCAAGTTTTGCAAAAATACTTTCTTCTCACTGCATAGATAGAAGAGGAGACTGAGTCCCCAGTGGATTAGTGCCTAAGAAACATGAGCAGGACTCAAGAAACGTCCATCCAATTCCTCTGATGCAAGCTTGGATGTTGACCTGCTCCACCTCGGTTTCAGTGCCTGTACACTTGGCTTGAAGGTTTTCCACTGCTTTGCGTTGCTTACACAAATATAAAGAATCCAGAGCTTAAGTGAGGGCAAATGTCTTCAGCACTTCCTGGTGCCCCTGAGCAGCAGGGCCCTGAGGGGGAGATCTCTAAGACAGCAGAGCATCGTTCATCGGAAAATTTAGAGTTGAAGACATCTGTTCAGTTGGCAAGGCACACAAGGCTTGCCGTTTGGGTATTTGGGGGGGAAGATTTTTTCGTTTCTCTAGGGTGTGTCTTTAAAAGGCAGCACTGTGTTCCTGATCCCACCCTGACACCCATCAAACACAGTTTTCTTCAGCTGTGGAGCGCCGGACACGGGGGCAGTACCTGCGTCATTGACTGCATTGCGCATCTCGTAGCTGTTAATGGTTCCTGAATGATCCGTGTCGTAATGCTTGAAAATTTTCTGGAAGAAAAAAACACACGACATGTGTGACAGAAATAAAAAGCTTGTATTTTGTTGAGCGCTGGTGGGATATGGGGCGTGTGCCTCAGGCACTGGGAGGTTTTGCTGTTGCCTTGCACAGCTGCTGCTGGGCAGGCTGGGTTGTCAGCAGAGAGCTCCTCTGCCACGAAGCAAAATGATTTACATCTGTGCTGTGAGAAGCAAAAGCCTCTCCCCTAGAGACCCTTCTTCTTTGACTTGAGTGTATGCTGTTAATCCTCTCCCTTGATTGTCCCAATTAAGATATTTGTGAGGCCTGATTCTAATTCCCATCTTCCTCCTCCTCCTCCTCTAATTTGCCTCTGTGCTGTTCTCAGGGGGAAAGTCTTACGTGAGTGGGGGAGCTTCAGAGAGTCAGGCTGTTTGCTAAGGCTGTGAGTAGGATGAGAGAGATGTTAATTTTCTTTTTAGAAGCTAATTTGCTTTCTTTTTTTAGCTTTTCGTTTTGTTGTAGTGTATGTAGAGAGTTCTGGGTTTCCTACACAAGCTTTTGTGCTGCAGAAGCTGTGAAGAACAACGCTGCGGACACCAGCAATACCTGCCAGCTTTTAATCTTGTCCCAGAGATGTCGAAACTCATCGAAGTTTATCTTCCCTGAGCCATCTGTCTGTGATGCAAGCATTCAGGTAAAAAAACCCAACATTTTTAAGAGAAAATTAATTAAGTCTGCAGCTACCGATGAAGGGGTGAATGTGAAACTGAGTTCAGGGTCTCCTCAGCACTAAAAGCTGGTGGAGCTGTGTGGCAAAATATTTGTGAACGTTTATGTTGTTGTGCAGAGTATTTTGTTTCAGGGGTGTGAAGTGCTGTTTGCGCTTTGGGTAGAAGCAAACATTGGGACAGGGGAGAGGCTTGCTCCTGGAGCTATTGTAAAGTACGCGAGCAGGTCTCTTTCCAAAGACCTCAGAATGTGAAGCTTACTCAATTTTTAAAACAACTGAGCGTTATCCCAGAGTGAAGCTCTTTCAGTTTGAATGCACTCGTGTTCTTTCAAGATCATGTGTTTCGTTAAATAAGAAAACTGAGGTTGTATCAGAGGGAGCCCTGTACAGCATTTTGTATTTGGTTTTATTCTGGGAAAATTTCTCTGTGTGTTGCTAAGTGCACAGTGGATTGTATAGTACATTATACATTTTAGGATAAGAGAAACGTAGCAAGTCTCTCGGCAAGAACTGTAGGTATCTTGAGTTGGTTGAAACAAAGATAATTTTAAAATCATGCTTTAGTACTTGAGCTGGCCAGTCTCTGATACCTAAGGAGAGGTATTGAACTGACTGACTGACTCTGTAGTTTTCTATTTTGGAATATTTTCATCTGTCAGTGGTGCTAATGTTGAGATGACCAGAGTTAAGATGTGCCAAACCAGGAATGCTCTGTTATCTGACTACAGTCTATAATGTACTGTTCTGTTTCCCTGGCTTACTACATTGTGTGTGTATGTGTAGTGGTAGGAAATACAACCCAAGCACATCAGTGTGATATCAAGCACTCCTCCTTCACCAGAAAAGGATACGTCCATTAAAGCGATCATGCTGCGGCAGGATTCCAGTTCAAATCCTTCTGTCTTTAGGTCTTTATCTGAAATAAATGATCCGAGGTGAAAACATATCACGCAAGTCAGCAAGCGTTTCTTCCTTTCTTAGGTGTAACTCTGCTCAAAGCAGATGCCAAACCTACCTCCTTCATCCGCTAGGAAAGGCATGGTGGAGAAATCTGAAAAGGCTCTTAAGTAGTGTGAATCAGAGATTACTTTTTTTGACCTGTTATATACACTAAAAACCTCTGTAAAACTCTTAACTTCCACGTAACTAAGCAAGCCCGGGGTCTGTAGGCTAAAGTTTGCTAGACAGGGAGCAAGGTCCGCCTCTCCATTAAAATTTGGTTTGGTAAAACATCATTTGCAGAGTGCTAGAAATGTGATGTTTTGCTGTGTGGTGCTTCAGAGGGAGATTTGTATGAAGGCTCCCAACTGGTATAGACTAAGTTTAATGTAGTGTAGCAGTACGGTACCATGTGAACTGATGAAGTGTCCAAGGCCAGGCTGGACAGGGCTTTGAGCAACCTGGTCTGGTGGGAGGTGTCCCTGCCCATGGCAGGGGGTTGGAACTGGATGATCTTCAGGGTCCCTTCCAACCCAAACCACTCTGACTCTATCTTGTGATTTCTATGTTATCGGTACTCAATCACTCATAGAGAACATCTCTATGAAAAGTGCAGCTTGCTAAGGACTTGGATACAAAGTCTTTGAGAGTGTAACTAGAAAATCTGTGAGTTTGAAACTGTAAATAATCTTGAGAGTGCAGCTCAGGGGTGGAGGGTTACGTTACATCGCAGACATTTTTGTGCAGGGTTACTGAAAAACATGCTCAGACTCACGTTTTTTTACGACATTGTTGAGAACGTTCCTGAGTTCTTCAGCGTTGATCTCCATGTCCTGGTGGGAAACGTGGTGAGAATATCGTTAATTACAACACTCCTTATTAATCAAGTAATTTTGTGGATGGATATGCTAGAAGTACGAAGTCTCTGGTCACTTTTCAGTATGGCATATACATGCTTCAAATGAGGGGACATTCTAGTTCCCATAAACATTAGTCCAAATCTTTCTTGAGGCTGCAGTACAAGGTAGGTCTGAGGTTACCCTATAGTGCTTATTAAACTACAACTAGAAGAACAACCAATAATTTCAAGCCAAGGTATAAACCAAAAAAGCAAAATGAGAAAAAAAATTTGCAGCCTCTTGATTTATGTAGTTCTTTGTTCTGTTTAAGCTTTGTTAATCCTATACTGGCGGACGCTGCTTCTTTAGGTTGTTCATACACGCTGTGCAAAATAGCATCTTGTGGTAGTGACAAAATTAAAAGCCTGAAGTTAAACAAGGCTCCCTCGTACACAATGAGAATAGCTATAAGTGCGTACGAGAATAGCTGTATACTTAGTTGCATTTTGGTTTTTGCTTGGTTTCAAGTTTTAAAGGAAATTTGATGGAAGGAAATTCAAAGGAAACGATAAAACTCAATGGTTTGCATCCATGAAGCAGTTGATGTTGTGGCCAGGCTGCTCTGATGGCCAGGGCGGGGATCAGTTGCGTACTCACATCCCCTGCGATCTGTCGGAAAATGTTCCTGAACTGTTTTTCCTCTTCACTCCCCTCACGAGTTTTTGCTGATGGACGCTGAAAGAGACAAGCAGAGGGGAGATACGGTCTTAGCCCAGCAAGGAAGGGAGAGGGCCTGGATGGCTCCCTCATGCCATGAAGGAGCTTCTTGGTGACTCTGGATTTCTTTGGAGGAACAGATTGTCCTGTTCCTTTTCTTTTTTTTCTGGATTTTTTTGTTGGTTTTCTGTTTGGTTTTTTTTTTGTGTGTGTGTGTTTCTTGGCAAAACTGGTGAGTATTCCACTTCATCCCATTGCTCTTCTTCCTCTCGGAAGGAGCCTAAATGATAACTTTCACCAACAGATGTTTATCTTCTGTGTTGCTTCAAAACTTTGCAAAGGAGAAGTTTGGAGCAGAAGACAATGATGTTACATGAAGCTTTCTCAGGCATGTGCAGAGAGCAAGCCTCTGAGTGAAAAAGGAAACTATATTTTATCCCCCCAATATGAAATTACAGGAATGTTATGTGATAAATTAAAGTGAATTTCTTGGCTTAGTTCTTATTTTTGTTTGTCTAAATGCAGAAGAAGGCTAAGATTGATTCTCAAGCCAGACAAGTTGTACTGAGATTTGATGAAAAGCTGTTAATCGTCTTAGGACACTTCTCTGACCCATTCCTGTGCTCTCCCCAGCCATTCTTTCATGGTAGCCAAACCAAGCCCTGTTTCCCCCTTCACCACTTGCTGCAGAAACCTTTTTCTCATCTACGTGGGTTCTTTCACCATCTTTGCCAGCATCTTCGTCTGCTGTCAGCTCCTTATTGCTGTTTGCTCTGTCGGAAACAAAGATGATAGGCTAGAAGAAGGAGAGCAAAAGAGAAATGGAAATTACAGAAGAAATAGTGCAAGGGAAGATATTTAGTGACAACCATTCTGTGGTAAAGCCCATGCAGCAACAGCTCCAGCCCCTGAGAGGGTGACTGGAGAAGGCAGAGCTGGGAATGAAAGAAATGAAAGGAGGGGGGAGAAAAAAGTGGAGGAGTTTCTGAAGTTACTGCTCTCCTCGTGATGAAAAAACAAGTCTTTTTGCAAAATAGCGCAACCTCTGGCTTCTGGCTTTTCTTTTCAGAAAGCCAGTAATCATTTAAACATTGTTTGATGGGTTCATTTTAAATCAAAATAAGCCTCCCGAGTTCTTGATTCTCAGTTAAGCTGAGGAACTTGCCCCTCTCTATAAAGGACAGTAGCACTGAAAGTGAGAGGATCTGAATCCTACACAGAAAATGAGTATTTTTGTACAAGCTTGTTAGTTATGTGAAGCATATGTTCTCTCTCTTGATTAATTCTTGAAGCATTCAACAGTAAGCAGCTGCGTGCAATTGTTCTAGTTTAGTGCATTTAAAACAAGGAAAGCTGCTACAAAATGCAAATGTGTCACCCCAGAGCATTAATTGCAATCAGCCTGTCTTGAGGTTAAACCGACTGATGAAGCTTTCAGGGTCCTAAATGTGTTGTGCAGAATCAAAAGGAGGATCCTGGACTTTGGTGAGCAGAAACTTCAAGAAAGAGGAGTATTGGGCAACAGAAAGCAAATGTGAGGGCACGTGTCTGGAGAAAGGGGGGCTTTTCAGCAGGAAGGGGTGACGGGTGCCTGTGGAGGGGCAGGAAGGAAAAGGCAGTTTGAGCAACCCAGAGGATCAAGCTCGTGCAGCTGAAAAGTTCTTTTGCCTCCTCCTTGAGTGAGAGGGGAATAGGACACTCATGCTATTGCATTAGTGTTTAGTGTACGAAGGTAAAATCTCCGCTGCTTGCAAGCGGCCTCTTATGCAGTGCCCTTCGTTAATTAGGATTCAGGGAAATCACGATAACAAGAAACTCCACTCTGCATGCACCGCACGTGCTCTTTGCCTTGCTGGCACTCGGCACGTTGTACAAGTACTCACCTTGCCCTTTTTCTTCTTCTGTATAAAAAGAGACAATTTTTGTAATTTTTTTAAAAAGCATTTTTAAAGAGAATTACAGATTTTATACAGGTTATGCAGATCTGATGAAATGTTTTGTGTTTTTCCCTTGCACTTTCTCACATTTATTTTTTTTCCATTTCTATACTGATAAAATTTTTCTAATTTCCTACATTAAGACAGTTTTCAAATCTCCAGAAAATGAGGTGAAATACACCTACAAAGAAATTTCACACTGAAGGACAAGCATTGCAGAAACCATAGCGAAGCAGCGCCCCATCTCATCTGGGGCTTTGTCTGCTTGAATGAAATCTCTGTTGCACTTTTAGTTCGCAATATTCCTTATTTTCCATATTCCATATTTTGTTATGACAGCAAACAGAAGGGGAATGCTACTGAGCGAGGTTTGATGAAGCTTAATTCTGTGCAAGAGCATTTCCTCTGATTTTATTTCAAGGCTAATTGTGCTGTTAGCTCTAGTATATTCCCAGAAAGATGCGTAAAACCCCAGGGTGTGAAGCATTGGAGCTTGTTATGGATGCTAGTTTGAAGCAGAATATCCTTAGGATCCCTTTCCAGAAAGCATATAATTTAAGATAAGGTACTTTTTTTTTTTTTTTTTTTTATTAGATGACATACCAATTTCACAAACAAAATATCTCGGAGCACAGAGCTAGGCTTGCCCTGGTAAGGGAATAATCTCCACTGATGGAGGTAAAGCCAGTGCTTAGCATCCAGCTACTTTATGCCAAAACAGATTTCAAGCCTGGCAAAACATTTTGGTCTGGAAGTCATGTATGTAAAGCAAGTGTTCATAGAAGTATCTTGATGAGTAAAAACCTGGGAATTTATGCTCAAGGAGCTGTCGCGTGGCTGCAAACGGGGTTCTGCTGTAGGTTTCCCTAGAGGTGATGCTTGTCCCCCTTGTCCCCCTTGTCCCCCTATTCATGTAGAAAAGAGGCCCAGGATGGTACTTACTGATGGACGCTCGGCCTCGATCATGTTTTCAACCTCCCTAGAAGAAAGCAGAAAGTAATTAAGTTGGGAAAATGATTGTTCCTGATATTGCTTGTTTCTGCAGCTGGTTTGTAAGCAGCCACTTGAACTTTCCAAACAGCTGCAGGCTCCCGTGGTAGCTTTTTGCCAGGTTTCAGCTGAGCATCACGGGTACCACTCCCAGGGGGGCTGCTGCCCAGTTTACTCCTCTAAAGAGCCTCCAAAACACTGAATTTTTGACAGCTTGGAGCAAACCAGAAGCTGTTTGGCTTAAGTAGAGTGACAGCGGCTGCAATTTGCTGAGCTCTGGGAAAGTGGTTGAAGAGCAGGATGGAAAAGAAATAACTACCTGCTTCTGTGGTACGTTCACAACTGAAATCAGATCTGGTTCAATGATTTATCTGGCAAAAACTTCAGCCAGTGGCATATAGCAATAAGCACCAAAGAAGTTAATTCTCATTGCTAATGAAATGGCTAACAGTATGTTTATGAAGTATATTCTGCAAGCAGTAAGCTTCTCCAAAAACGATTCAAAGCAGGCTCTTATTAGACTGTAAGGGAAGCTCAGGGAAATGAGTTTGCAGCTTCTAAAGAGTTTCTAATGAGGTTAAGAAAATTAAAAACCAGGTTGTAGCAAATTTTGGAACATGACTATACCTGATTAGTGAGTTCACCTCCATCTTTATGGCCAGATGGATCTGCAACTTACTCTGAAAGACTTCTTTTCTCTGAGAAGACCCTCAGGATGAATTCTCCCTCCTGGTGGGGTTCGTACGTTGATGGGATGACGACGTATTCGCTGGGAGGTAACCGGAAGCGCTCTGAGATTTCTCGCATGTTTATATAGGTCTTACTTCTAGCTTTAGAGGCGTTGTAGAGGAAAAAATCCTTTTGCAAGTGGTGCTTCGTACCATGCATCTGCAGAACAAACGAGTCAATTTGTCTTCAAGGAAGCAGCTTGTCATGGGGGCAGTACAGGGTTGGGACAGAAAACACAAATGAAGGAGCAGCTCAGCAAGCAGGGAGGTGAGGAGGGCTGCTGGCTGGTAACAGCTGTGGAGTCTGTCACCTTTAAGGCACTACTGGCTGGGTCTAGTTGGCTTCTGAGGGCTGGTCCAGGGCCCACTTGCAGAACATTGGCTGACTTCTGCTGTGTAAGCACTTTTCTCTGCCTCTCTTGTTGTATGCCAAACTCTGTGTAACCAAAGTCTGGCTACTTTCCACGGAGGTGGGCATGGCAAGGAATGGTATACGGGGACTCCTATGTGCAGTGTGGTCAGGTGAAGGCAGAACCTGAATTCTAAAGAAACGTGACTATTAAATATTCTTTCAAATATGAATGTTAAGTCAAGAATTGTGGGATAAGAACACTTGCAGGCTGGTTTCTGCAGAACTAGCTACCTGTAGAAGAGGTTATTTCAGCAAAGACAACATTCAAACTGTCATCTTCCTCTTTTCTGGGTAACAGAACCTTCAGATGACCTTGTTTGCAAAAGTTGCAACGCCAGTGGTTCAGCTACCAGCAGGCTCATAAAAACTTAATCTTTGTACTTTTAGCGTGTTTTCCTCAGTTGCTGAAAATACAGCACGCATTCTAAGGCTGTAGAGGAAAACCAGTGGCTGCAGGATATATGCCACAGGCATTATTTGCAGGAGGAAATGGAAGTGGTTTGGGATGGCTCTTGCTGGAGCGAAGAGGCTAAGCGCCCGCTGACGCTGGTTCCTGCAGCCCAGGCTCACTGACCCCCTGTGCAAGCCAAGGCTAGGCCTTGCACAGAGTCAAAAAGAAGGACTGAGGAAGAGGTGCAGGTGAAAATGGGGTGCAGGCAAGAAGCAACTAAAAACTGATCACAAAATGTTACTAGTAAGCACTCAAAGCAGAAAGGTTAGTGGTTTCTCTTCTGTTGCATCCCTGAAAAAAGGTCAACTGGCTGGTTTCCTGCTGACCTTGGGCCAAGCACAACAGTAACACTAGCTGTGAGCATACACCAAGATGTCATTCTGCCTCCGTTCTGCTCGTACCTCTTTGGGCACCTTAGGGAGAAACAAAGAGAAGAAACAATCAGAGCTGCTAGGTGGGTCCACTTGTTTATAGATCATACAGAAGGGCATTCACACAGATTTCTGGTGACACAGCCAGTAATTACAAGTTAGGTATATATTATAAGCAAACTTTCTGTTTCAAGATTTCTTGGGATCAACGTGAGATCCACTAAGATCTGAACTAAATATGTTTATGCAAGGGATCGAGTAAATTGACTTCTTGAAGAAAGTTGGTTGCTACTTATGCATCTTGGATGTCTGTTTCCTTTTTTACACTATTCTGCCAATTAAATGTTTAGTTTTGGTGAGGATGAAAGGGAAATTGAAGAATATGTGAGAGGCAATATGTTAAAATCTGGAATACAAAAGCCTACAAAACGTGTTACTTCTAGATGGGGTAAGCCCTGAGGTTACTATGGTCTGAATGGTTGCAAAGCCTTGAATTTCCTTCCAGGTTCTCCCTGAGCTCCTTGCAAAGTAAAAACTGCAATTTGTATAATTGGGCTGAAATATTCATTGGCTCTCTTGGCAAATGCATACTGTCAGGATTTGCGACCATAACGCAAAGAACAAAGTCTAGAGCTGGTACCTCATAGATGGCAAAGCCAATGGTGTACAGGTTGGCTCCCAGCTTGCGTTCTTTCCTCCTGTTTTTCTGCATCAGTGCAACAAGGAAGCTGCAGATGACTTCTTCATCTTCAGGATCATCATCTTCCTCCAGGAGCTTCAAGCGATACTGGGGATTGGTCCAAAATGTATCTGTGAAATCCCGTCAACAACCCAAAGCAAACATGTAAAGCTTCAGTTTTCTAACAATACTCATGATCAAAGAGAACTTTTGAAGGAGGATATAAAATTAAGAACTAGCATCTGTCTGACTTTCAAAGCACCTATAACACCTTACGAGGAGCGATTGAGGGAACTGAGGGAGCTGGGTCTGTTCAGTTTAACGAAGAGGAGGCTGAGGGGGGATCTCATCATGCTCTACAATTACTTGAAAGGACATTGTAGAGAGGTTGGTGCTGGTCTCTTCTCACAGGTAATTAGAGACAGAACCAAGGGGAATGGTTTCAAGTTGCAACAGGGCAAGTTTAGGCTGGACATTAGGAAGAAATTCTTC